GGTTGTGCAATATCTTTTGTGATATATTAAGAGACGATACGTAGATGTTTTGATATATGATTCTTTCTGTGTATTAAGGCTTATATGATAAATAATATATGGTGAATAAATTGTAAAAATATAAAACAAAAAATATATAAAAATTATTTGAGGTATTTTATAATCGTCGGTGGCACGGCATTTGCTGGGTTTTGGTGTCCCCCAGGGGGAGCAACAAGCTGAGGCTGAGGAACTCGGCTCCCTGCTCACGCTCTTGCACGAAGGTGCTTGCTGCTATATTACCCTCCGTGGGGCACAGCACTGCCCCTGCGCCCCATCAAGTGGCCTCTTCTGGCCTCTTCTGTGTCAGGCAGCCCTGTCATAGATCTGGAATGTGGAGGGGGGCACTTCCTCTTCGTTCTCAGCTCCTCCCTGTCCAGCTTCTGGCTTGACCTTGTTGATGTTCCCAGCTGCAAGTAACTCGGCTGGGAAAGTGAACGTTTTTTGAGATTGGCCTGCTTGCCGCTTGCTTCAGCCCCCGCGCGCTAACTATAGTCAGTGGCTTCAGCTCATTGGGGGGGGCGTTTGATTTCACTATAAGTCACGACACCCTTTTTCTGGTGTTGGGCCAAACACAATCAAGTATTGTCATGCTATGGAAATCTCAGGCATGTGGACCCCAGTTTCACCCTCAGCACAGCACTTAGACAGCCCTGGCTCCGTGCTTGAAGACAAACAGGCAGATCATGAGAGGGAGGGCAGGAAGGGTTGCCTCAGTGCTTAGTTCTCATGGCCCTTTCTTAGTAGCAAAGCTTCTCTTGGCTCATCCTCCACCTCCCACTACTAAAATAATCCCAATTTGGTGGGCCACCTACTTGTGAGTTCACAGAGGAACAAGAGGAAAGACACGGATCTGCGCACAGAGGCATCGTTCTTTCCCCAGTGAGAGGGGAATCTAGTACAGATTTAGCATGGCTTTAAAAAAAGAGAGAAAAGAATGCCCCTTTCTAGGGAGCCAAGGGGCCTAGCGCTCTTCCTCTACCTACCTACAGACCCTCTCCACCCCCCCCTCCAGCCTCACTCGCATTCACCAGCTTGCCAAACTTCTTTCCCCCCTAGTCTACCAATGCTGGAGGCTTGAGCAGCCATAATAGAAGCACCTTTCAGGGGGCCAGGACTGAACAGCTCAGAAGTTTCACTTTCCCTAGGGAGTTTCGCCTGTCTCCCTCTATCGGTGTCTTTTTTACCAGCAGGTGACGACTTTTCTGTTTCCTCTCTCACACCCCCAGTAGTGGTGAGCAGCCCTCCTCCCAGGTCCTGGTGTTGTTTACTTATGTGTCTTTTAATGAATTATTTTATACATCTAACTGTACTTTTAATGGCTTAAACGTTTTAGTGTTTTTATTTCCGCTGCCTCGTGGACCCTGATCAGGCGGAAAGGCGGCATAAAAATGTTTTAATTAAATGGACCATCTTACAACTATTGCCATCTGCACTTTGCTATTGTACTCAATCTGCACTTTATATGTTATTGTTGAATTTTATCTGTGTTTTATTGTAATTTGAACTCATTGTACGCCGCCTTGAGCCTGCTTGTCAGGCAAGGCGGGATATAAATCAAAATAAATAAATAAATAAAGGCCTTTCTGTAACCCGACTCACTGCAGAAGGAAGAGGGGGGCCCACGACACAGGGAAGCCAGCAAGCTAGCAAGCAGTCTGCCGGGTCTACTAGCCCCCTCCCCTCCAGGCCCACCCACAGTTCCAGGCCTGTTGCATCTGGCCCTTACATACGAGAAGGCCACGCAGCCCACTCCACGGGTGGATGACCACTGCTGTGCCACGGCAATCCGTGAGGGCACCGGGCCACTTGGAGATGCCACCACAGCCCGGGACGCAGCTTCATGGGGAGGCCCTTCAGAGGCATCAGGTGACCCAGCCCCTGCCACCTGGGCCACGTTTAAGCCACGAGGAGGCATAAGACTTAGCCACGTGCGACGCCCAAGCTCTAGACAGCACCTCGGCCTCGTGAGGACCAGTGACGGAAGCAGCCTCACCTGAAGACTCCTGCCCACTTCTTCAGCAGCGTCTCGCTGTACTGATCCCGGATTTCCAGCAGCAAGGCTGCCGGCGGGCATGTGTGGCTTCATGAAGGCCCCTGCGGCAGCTTCATCACTGGGTGGGAGATCTTGCTGGTAATCCCTCACTGAGAAAAGCATCAGAAGAACCCCAGAATGATAAGAAGGGGGAGAGGCCTGCACGTCAGGGGAACACACCCAGCAATGGGAATCATCGACCCACGATGCTTCTACCCCGGTAGAAAGGAGCCAGAGCCCAGGAGCACCCAAAAGACTCACAAAACACGTGGCAGGGCTTGAGCTCTCGTGAGCCACCGCTCACTTCTTCTGAAGAAGAAGGTGGTACCTGAAGAAGGGACTGCAGAGTGACTCGCGGAAGCTCCTCCCCTGCCACAAACCTTGCTAGCCTTGAAGGTGCTCCTGGACTCTGGCTCTTTCCTCCCACTACAGACGGACTGACACAGCCGCCCACCTCGATGATGCTTCTATCCCGGCCTTCGTCTTAGATGCTCAGGACTGGCATCCGTGACTCCCCCTTCTCCCATTCTATTCTCACACTATGCTGTGGGGTCGGGTCAGGGTGTGAGAGACTGCGCCTTGCCCGAGAACACCAAGCAAGCTCTGGGGCAGAGACGGGATTGGAACCCTGGTCTCCTGGAGCCTCACGCCACACTCTCCCCCCACGAGGCATCACGCGGGATTCCTTGGTGTCCCTCAAGCAGTGGGGGCCTCTCTGGGCCCCATCTCAGGAAGAAGGCGGGGGGGCGGGGGCTGCCAAGGGAAAGGACGAGAGGAGTCCAAGAAGAAGAAGAGGAGATTGGATTTATACCCCTTGCCCTTCACTACCCAAGGGAGTCTCAGAGCGGCCTACAATCTCCTCTCCCTTCCCCTCCCCACAACAGACACCCTGTGAATCAGGTGGGGCTGAGAGAGCTCTGACAGAAACAGCTCTTTTTCAAGAACAGCTCTTATCAGAACTCCGGCTTGCCCAAGGTCACCCAGCAAGTGCGAGTGGAGGAGTGGGGAATCAAACCCGGTTCTCCCAGACTAGAGTCCGCGCACTTAACCACGACACCAAACTGGCTCCTTCCAAGCCTGGGAGGAAGGGCGGGCGAGACGGGGTTCAGAGGTCGGCCCAGGAAGGGGGGGGTGTCTCCGCGAAGCGCAAGGGCCCACCTGCAGCGTATCGGCAAAGAGCACAATGAGGTTCTTCAGGTCCAAGACCAGGTTGGGGTCGGAGCAGTAGGACTGAAAGAGAAAAGGGGCCACTCGTTTGCTCGTTCCTGTTTCCGCCTTGCCCTCGACCGAGCAGGGGCAGAGTTAGCACTGGATACACTTTGCTGCCCTGCAGTGCCCTAAAGGCCCAGGCAATACGGAACTCCCAGCTTCACCCAGGGAGCCCCAACATGGCACCGGCCAACACCTTCCCCAGTGCCCACCACGTGTGGTCAGAGAGTGGGTGGGGCCAGGTCAGGCACTCGCCACACAAGGCTTCTGACTGGCCACCGGGGGTCTGGCCGGCTGAGCAGGCTGAAATAACGTTTCCACAGCAGCAGCAGCAGCAGCAGCCACCAGAGTGTGGGTTTAATTCTGTCTCGTTCCTCTTTCCTGGGGTATCTGTTACAACCACCCCCCTTTCCCCCTGCCCCAGGGCTTCCTTTGCTCGTGTGGCTCCACTTCCTGCAGCTCCACCTCCCGTGGCAGCCATCTTGTGGCTCCGCCCCCCCCCCACGTGTTGGAATGTCAAAAGTGAACCTGACAAGTACATGAGGATCAGCTAGAAGAGATGCAGTGTGAACCTGACAAGTACATGAGAATCAGCTAGAAGAGATGCAGTGTGAAGGAGGAGGAGGAGGAGGAGGTGGAGACTGGATTTATGCCCTGCCCTTCACTCAGAGCGGCTGACAATCTCCTTTCCCTTCCCCTCCCCACAAAAGACACACCGTAAGGTAGGCGGGGCTGAGACCTTCGACAGAAACTGCCCTTGAGAGAACAGCCCTGAGAGAACTTGTGACCGACCCAAGGTCACCCAGCTGCCTGCATGTGGAGGAGTGGGGAATCAGTGCTCATCTCCTCACCACTAGGAGAAAAACGGAGCTCAAGACATGCCCAAGCACCAGCTGCGAGGAATCGCCACTTAGCACGAGAGACATTGTTTGGATTGGACACTTGTCAGAAGCCCACACATCAGTGCATGGCCTGTGTGGCCACTCGCAGCCATACCTGCAGCATCCTCCCGGGAACGATCCCAGGAGTGGCGGCGGGTAATGGGGAAAGACCACGAGGCTGACGGGACGGAGGAAGCCAAGAGGCCTCCCTCCCCGGGCCAGAGTGCTGTGAAGCCGGGGCGCTCAAGCGCTGCTCTCGGGGTCAGCTGCTCGGGGTCCGGGGTCCCCGCCAGCCGGCCAGCCCACGTGCCACTCACCGAATGAGTCCGCAAGGCAGCGATGGTCTTGGAGAGGGCCATGTCCCACAACTCCTCCAGGTAGGCTCTGTCCACCAGGCCCGGCGTCGTATGCAGGACGTGGTCTTCGACGACAAAGAAGCTGCAGAAGAGACAACGAGGAGGGTGGCATGGAGCACGGATCACCTGGCCACGGAGGAGACTTGGCACATCCCCGTTTACAGTTTACAGCCTCGCAAACGTCATGGGGGAATGGCGTTGAGAGCCTTCATCCAGAGCTCATGCTTCAAGGCTTAGCCACCATCTTTAGTAGGGGGGGAAGGGCTTGTTGGCACTCCAGAGGAACTGCCTGGCTGCTGCGTGAAACGGGATGCTGGACGAGAGGGACCCTCACTGGTCTGACCCAGCAGGGCTCTCCTGAGGTTCTTCTCAGGGGAAGGCCTCGGCCTCTCTGCCCTGTTGTTGGTCCTCCAGAGGAACTGCTTGGCCCCTGTGTGAGACGGGAGGCTGGACTAGATGGACCCTC